ATTTTTTTACCCTTATTTCACCAATCACAGATTTGCTCTTCAGCCCCTTTGGCAATCTTTCTTCCTCACTTATTTTATGTGAACATACTGTGCCTTCAGCAGTGTGTTGTTAGTTGGGAAAGTGTTTACACCCTCTCGTTCGAACAGACCCATCCCTACTAGTAGAAGAGTCAAAACCTCAATAATCTCCACTCGGCAAGTCTTAGTTTGCTGGTCATGATGACGGCCCATGTAATGGCAGCGTGCCAAGAGATAAACAAATAGAACACGCTGTATTGTTGGAGCAAAAGAACAGCCCTCCATATTAATTTTCACCTCAGCAGGTCACAATAGGCATAGGCAAGGGAAAACAGAACTTTTGTGGCACTTCCAGAAAACCGTTTTTTCCCTTTAAAACCCTCATTAAAGTAATACTGATCCTAGATATGCTGCTTAGGTTAAAGTTTTAGAAAGCAGTACTGTAAATACAGAACCATTCAATCATAACCAGCCAACTTCTTGTTTAAGTAGGCTTAGGTAGACTAGTTTATATTTTCTGTTCGCTCATCTCAGTCAACAAAACATCATGATGAGGTGATCGGAATAAATGTTTTGGAACTGATATGGAAAGCTACAGCAAAATATACACACTGGTTCAAAAGTTTGGATAGTTTTTGAAAGAAGTTTCTTATGCTCACCAATGCCTCAGTGTCACATGATCCTTCTGATGTTGATTTGGTGCTCAAGAAACATTTCTCATTATTATAAATGTTGACAATGCTGTTTAATATTTGTGGTAACTGATGCGGTTTTTTTTTTCATCCAGAAAAAAAAAAAAAGTGTTGTAACATTATAAATGTTCTACTGTCACTTTTGATCAATTTAATGTAGCTTTGCTGAATAATAAAGTCTCACTGCCCCCAAACATTTGAACAGTAGTGTATGCATTTATGAACTGTTTTTAAATTCTAGATATAAAACTAATAAAAGAATATAAAATCCAAGCCAAAAACAAAACGGTTGAATTTTTAAAAGTTTAATTGATCATACAGAATGTAGAAATAAAAAACACATTTGTACATTTAGACTTACACTGAAGAACACGTATTTACATTGAGGCAAAAATCAACTGAATTAGTGGCATTAAAATGACTAAAAACATTTGCAAAAATTCCCTAAAACAGTGTCACACAACACCTAGAGTTTGAGGTTTCTCTCTCACAGTCTCAATCAGGCTGTGAGACACACAGTCACATGTGTCAGGTGACTCCTTTTTCACTACACTAGTGGGTTTCAGTGAACCACTCAGGCATGGAGACACTAATGTGGCCTTCTGGTACCATGTCGTGATACTGAAGGTATCTTCCTTAGACGAGAGGGTAGCTAGCTGCTGTAGCAATACCACAGTGGTTGTGTCGGTCCTTGGCCATGTAGATGTATCCTTCATCACCCCAGTTCTCACTCCAGCTAGAATACAGAAAAAGCACATTGGGTTAAAAAAAACGCTGACTTTAAACACTGGCCATTGACTGGATTTTAGGGTATAAAGGATCTTACCTGTTCTTGACTATCCAATACTTCTTTCCATCAACATCCTCACCCTCAAAACCATAACCAACAGCAAGGACGCCATGATCTAGCTCCTCGCTGCTGCAGTCTTTCTCATAGTAGATGCCTAACAAGAAATATACATCCATTAGTGCACACCAATTGGGAATCTCCTGCACTAAATTCTCATAATGGAGTCATTTAGTTGGCTTAACTACGAATGGTGAGAAATATGCACACCTGACTGGTAGAACTGGAAAGACTCGTGTCCAGCGTCAATAGCCACAGACACCGGCCCCACAGCAGCTATAGCTTTCATCAGAGCATGTTCCTTTCCACTGGGAATGTCAACGAATCCGGTGTCATTAGCTGCGCTGTTGTTGGGATCGTAATGGCAGGGCTGATCATCCTGAAAATGATAAGCAGCATGTATGTTATGGTGATCCTTCATATAATTAGTCAGTATAATTTCATAAGAATAAAAGGTAATGTAACTTACAGTTCCCAAATAGGGGTAGGACTCCTCCGAGTCCAGACCGTTCTGGTCCTTGATGTACTGGAAGGCCTGGTCCATGAGACCTCCATTACAGCCCTCGTTGCCTTCAGGACGGGAGCATTCCACCAGGTTCTGCTCACTCAGAGACACCAGTTTTCCGGTCTTCCTGAACATCTGCCCCTCCATGGCTCCAGTAGTGCTGAAAGCCCAGCAAGAACCACACTCACCCTGGAAATATCACATATGAAACCGTTTAGACCAGTTGTTCTCAACAAGTTGACTTAGATGACAAATTAAAAAAAAAAAAAAAAAAAAGATAAAAACAAGCATCAAAATAAGCTACAACAAATTAAAAAAATCTAAATATTTCCATTTTTGATTATCCCTTTCAACAGGTTTTTTCTTTAAAGAACAAGTGTTCACACTAAAAACCTTGATATGTGAGGTGGCCTAGTTTTAAAAGTGTGATTTCTAAATCTGGAAAAACTAAAATCTTAAAATGCCATGGGCATGTTATTATGAATACACATTTTACTAGTTATGGCATTTTACTAGTTTTATGTAAAATATTTTATAGTGTAGAAAGTGCGTAAAAAAATAAATAAAAAATTATGTAACCATTAAATGTTTTTTTTTTTAAAGACTATTTAAATCTTTTAAATAAATAAATAAATAAATAAATAAATAAATACACACAACCTATGTACTGTATACATATATACACAAATTAGAAAAAAATAATAATGTCATATAATTATTCCCATAGATTAAAATATGTTTTTAAAACTAGGGCTAGGGGGCCTTTGAATATTGTTATGCACAATATGGTTTATTTATTATAATAAGTTTTCCTGGTGTATAACTGGAAAACACAACTATGGTCTCTCACACATATCATATACATCTACTTTCCAAGTGGTCAGACCATTTTTTCCCCCTATGGAGTTTGAATACATTTACATTTATCCAAAGTGACTTTCACTGCATTCATGATACACATTTTGTCAGTCCTTGCTTTCTCTGGAAATGAAACCGAAGACCTTGACATCACTAGTGCTGTGCTCTACTGTTTGAGCTACAGGAAGGCACATTCAAAGGCATTGTTTTTCTAGATATTTTACATATGGGCAACTATCTCACCTGATCTTTCACAGGAGTCACGTATCCCTTTTCTCTCCAGTCCAACTTGTTTGGGACCTCCAGAAAGTTGGGCTCCATGAACAGAGATCCTCTGAATCGTCTCTCCTTCTTGTGTTTGTAGCCATTCATCACCTGCCTGAACTCCTCAGGAGTCTGTAGATATAGAATAGTTTGATGAATACTGAAGGAATTTCATAAATCAATATGCAAACACCTCAAATGAAGTTCTTCTGCGGTCTTACCATATCACCAAAGTGGTTCATTCCGAGTCTGTAAGTGTGTGTGCCCATGGAGTGCTCAAGATTGTGCAGTTCAATCTTTCTCAAGTTTTTCTCCCAGACCATTCGCCTCCACCCCTCCTCCTTCTGTGTGAAAAGAGAGAACACAGAGTTCCACTTCTTGCTCTGTTTTAGACTAGTTCATGTACATTTTAAGCCAACATGAACCTTTAACACTTACTTCATGGTATTTTTTACTGTGCCAGTTCTTCCACTGCTCCCAATGGTCGTCTAACTGCTTGTCCAAAGTTGGAGCAGCAAATACAGCACTGAGGCACAACGTGAACGCCACCAAATACACCCTCATGATGAAAACACTGGAGGAAAAACAACAACAACAACAGGTCAGACATGTTGCAACAAGTGACCATGAACCCGTTTTATCCCGCGTAAATATATCAGATCAAAACGTGTATACGGGAATGCATACATCTTAAATTTTAATAGTTTGAATGGTGACATTTTAGTACAAATCTTATGGAAGCCAATTGGCACTTAGGAAAAAGTGGAAATTACGAGATGAAATCATAAAAATCGAAATTATGAGACACCAAGTCATGAGTCATTATTGTGACTCAGCATCTCATAATTTCGATTTAGTACGTCATCATTTCGAATTTTTATGTCATAATTCTGAATTACCAAACCCTTTTTTTTTCTTATGGGGCGGAAATGGGCTTCCATAGGTGTTGTATTAATACGTCCCTAAATACGGCATAAACGTATTTTAAATGGTTTCAGGTGAAGTTTTAGCAAGAGATTGCTAAAACTGCTTGAAATTTCATGTCACATATTCCTACATAATTAATCGTATATGTATATTTAAAAGAACTGGCGTCCATTTCCATTGGCATGAGATCAGATTACTGGCCCGACATCTTTGTTTACAACACCGGCGTTGTGCCGAAAATTTCGGCACTACACCTGCAGGCAGCGGTAGTTAAGCTTTGTTACGAATAGTAATAAAAACCAGTGAGTAAATCTAAAGGGAGAGGACGCATTACTCATGAAACAATTCTTAAAAACAGAGGCTGACCTAACGTTACAGTGCCGAACAGAAACGAATCTATATCATTGCCTGTATATCTTCTAAAGATATATTTGTTTACACGGGCCTCCGGACAGACACAGAAGGGAATAAGATTCCCATTTGCAGCAGTCACGGGATCTGGGAGGTTCCAGCCCACAGTTTCCCAGGAAAAGAAAGCAAAGACCGAAACCAGGCCACGGAAATCGAAAAAGAAACAGCTGGAGCTATTTTAGAGGAATGGATATGGGGGGAAAGCGTCACGCTTTACTCATCTATTAAAATATGGTAACGTTAAAACCGTGTGTCGCTAGAAAAAAAATACAGACAATTCATAAGAATGTATTGTGTAAAAGGCTCCGCAAAAGAGCGACCTAACAAGCTGAATTTTGTTCTGTATGAAGCATTACTCATTTTTTAAACTCCTAAAAAAAAAAAAAAAGATGCATATAACAATTACACTGAAGGTTTTTTTTTTTAAACAACAAATGTAACAAAAAAAACCCCTCAAGATTCCAGAAAGCTTTAAAAACTCCTGACTCACCCCGCGGTCCTGAAACCAGAAGAAAATAATGTCTGTTCTCGGTCTTCTTCTTGGTAATAATGTGTGTGTTGCAGAAGGGCCGCAAGGTTATAGCGCATCTGAAGGCACATTCCTCAATTTCTCATTGGTCGAGATTCTTGTCGATCCCGCCCCCTGATGAACACGTCACAGCATGTGACTCACCAGCACGTGATGGCTGCCCAGATTGGTTTTACTTGTAGAGAAAAACAATGTTGCTATCTAAAAACAAACAAACAATCTATTTAACATAAAAATGTTGCATTTACCGTTGCATTAGTTCATAAATGTATATAATATGTTACTTTAAAAAGCACTAGTAAACAGCCAATGCTGAATAGTGAGCTGCTATTTACTGTTTTATATTAGAATGCACATTCAGATTGATCGGTTTTCTTTGCAACGATATATTTTTCTGAGATATTTAATCCATTTACAGTATTGTCATACGGAAGTCATAGGCATTTAAATTATACCTATTATTAACCAACCAGTAGTGCTATGCCTTCCAAGTGTTCAAAAACAAGCTCTTCACACAACTAGAAATATGTTACAATTGATTGAAAAATGTTAGATTTAATCTCATTCCATTTTTGTCAAATGTCTGTTAATGCTGTGCGGGTCAACCAAACCAACAAACAACTAGGCTACTAAATCACAAGATTATAAAACAAAAGGGTCTCTGTTCTGTTTAAGTAATAAACAATATGAATGCAGTGAAGTTGCATGACCCTGCTCACACATCAACAGAACACCAAAACCAGTGTATTCTGAATTTATTATCAGTATGTCTATGTGAGGACGTCAGTGCAGGTTATCTAGTCCTATAACTTGACTTTGGAACAACATTCTATTGTTTACGTTGACTGTAAAGCTTTGTGGCAGGCCAGAATTAGAGTGCTGTTGAATCTACAAACCAACAAAGGGGAAAACAGAGTGATTAATGGGCTCGTCTGTGACAAGAAGCACTCAGTAGCTATAGATGGGAAGATTGCTCAGTTATCACTTAAGCCTATCAGCCCAGCGCTTCCAGAATGATCAAAAAAGAGCAGTTAAAAGAAGTATAATTGATCAAGTGTGAGCAACATCTACGTTAATCACGACTCTGATAATTATGATTAGAGTGTATGTATTCAGTATTACACATTATCACTAAATAGTAATTATGCTGTTTTTTGTTTGTTTGTTTCAAAGGCAACCATGTCAGAAACAGCTGTAAAAAGAAAAGAACAGGAAAGCTTCTATATGTTATGATGAAATAAAGGTGTGGCAATTCCATTTGCTGAATCATGCCACAGACTGACGCCTCCAAAAACAAAAAACATGACTAATTATTCATCAGCGGCAATGTCATCATTATCAGTTTTTCATTTTAGCGAGCTCGGCTGAATTGAAGGCCTCAGTGGAAGCATACATGCGGAAGCCAATTTACTAAGAATTAATTGGAGGGCACTTTGAAATATTTGAGAAAACTTGGAAATACGTCAGCTGTTAGTAGGGCAGGTTTATTAACAAATTACATAATTTACACCAAGGAATCTGGAATTCGGAAGGGTAAAATGTACTGTCCCAGAAATCTTCATGTCCTCGCAATCTAACATCTCTTCTTTCAGATCTCAACTAAAAACCTATTTTTTCTTCAAAGTTTTTCAGCTCACTTCTCTCTATAGTGTTTATTATTGAGTTTGTTATTTATTTTTTTTGTTTACTTGTACATGTATGAATGCTTGTAACTACAGCAACCCTGGAATTGGGACTTAATAATAAAAAAAAACATTATTATTATTATCGTCTTAACAATTTTTGAAATGGGGTTAATGTAAATGGCAAAATACTGCATAAACTGAATATTTAAAAAAACACACTGAAGAGAGTCATCGAGTAAACAATTTATTATAAAAAAAAGTAGTACACTGTAAAGTTTAAGGAAGTATTAAGCACATGGCATTCAGAGACATGCGAACATAATATAAATAGAGAAATAATGTGAAGGTCTTGTGCAAAGAGATGACTGTACAAGTCTTAAATACACCAGGATAAATTCCCCTCCGATTTACCCTGTTAAAGTCTTAAGAGGGGCAAACATGAACCTTGACCACAGCTAAACAGAGAAAGAGCTCCATAATACATTGACTTAATCACAATATAAAAATGTGCCTTTTGGAATGAGAGAACACAATATGTCCAATTCCCTTTTAGAAAAGTTTGTGATTTTAAGCCTGCAAGGGAAATGATGAAAGGCTGGGGGATACACCTGTCCCAAAATATAATATGGAACAGTTCTTTGAATTTTTAGACATTAAAAAAGATGATGAGACTGCAACTGTCTCATACAAAGGAGAGCAAGAGTTATAGCATGTGTTAGATGTAACAGTCTTTGCTGCCATCTACAGTTTTCAAGTTGTCACTTCATTTGTGTCCAATATACCACATTCAGTACAATCAAACAGGAGGAATGGCATCGCTTTTAAGTTTCAATGCAAATGTCAACATATTTTATGACACTTTTGCCTCATTTAAATCCCTTAAAATGGCATTTTATGATTAATTCTCCAGTGTACAGAATACACATGACTATGTGTTCCAAATAAATTTCTTAAACACTCAACAACAGTGTAAATGTAAGAAACAGATTATATTGAAATAACAATTGTAACAAAGATCATGCTTATCAAGACACTGCAGCAGACATAACTGTTATAAAGAAAAATGAAATCTCACTTGTCATGTAGGTACCTGGAATATTTCATCATTTCCATTTGACAGGTAGTCAGAACCGTACTATTTCACAAAAGTGAATAAGTGTGAATAAGACAAATGTGAGGGATTTTAGGAACCACACTTTAAAATAATTTCCCATGTATTTTGATTTTTAAAAGAATGTTTAGCATGTTTGTTTGTGCTTCATTAGTCTAATAAAATTCTGTCTGAATAATGATGCATTTTAGTTGCAATAAGGAACATTCAGGTAGTAAATACAAATTACCCAATTTTGTATGTTTAAGAAAAAGTGTAAATCTATTGCTGCGTAATAGATAAGGTAATTAAAAGCTTCATAAGACAGGTAAACACCGAAACACTTGCAGAGGTGCACATCCAATTTTGAAATCTACAATGATGGCTCTTTGTCAACAGTTTACCATCTTCAAGGCACTCAATAGCTTGAGTCGTTTATTAAATAATGCTGCCAAGCACTTAGTGATCTATCATTCGGTCATCAAATTTAGCATAATTTCCCTATAACAGCTGTCCGAATATATAAAAGTAATTGCAAACTGCAGAATTTTCATTCAATAAGGACATTGGGGAATGTTGGGACAGTCAATAAAAGATTCGCAGAAAAAAAAAGTACATAGGCACCTTTTCAAAGACACCAAGAATGAACATTCGGAAATCGCGAAGGGCAACAAAATGGACATGAGCTGAGTATCTGATTCAAATACTTCTGTCTCAGGACACCAGGGAGCTTGAGATTTAACACCACTCCACCGGTAAACTGCAAGTTTCTCTACAGACACAAGTGACGTCCTAACGAGAGATCACGGAACTGATGGAGTTGTAGGATGTGCCGCCCCCATTACACACCGGGCTGTAGGGCTCTGGTGGGGTGCCCAGAATCTCCAAGTTGACCCGGAACACTGGTGCAGCTCGAAGGAGAAAATCTGCCGCATCCCGACGGCCAAGTTCTCGTAACTTAGCTACACAGCTGTCCGAATATATAAAAGTAATTGCAAACTGCAGAATTTTCATTCAATAAGGACATTGGGGAATGTTGGGACAGTCAATAAAAGATTTGCAGAAAAAAAAAGTACATAGGCACCTTTTCAAAGACACCAAGAATGAACATTCGGAAATCGCGAAGGGCAACAAAATGGACATGAGCTGAGTATCTGATTCAAATACTTCTGTCTCAGGACACCAGGGAGCTTGAGATTTAACACCACTCCACCGGTAAACTGCAAGTTTCTCTACAGACACAAGTGACGTCCTAACGAGAGATCACGGAACTGATGGAGTTGTAGGATGTGCCGCCCCCATTACACACCGGGCTGTAGGGCTCTGGTGGGGTGCCCAGAATCTCCAAGTTGACCCGGAACACTGGTGCAGCTCGAAGGAGAAAATCTGCCGCATCCCGACGGCCAAGTTCTCGTAACTTAGCTACCAAAATGCCTATGGTTGAATTGGGTTGCTGGCTCCAATCTTGCAGGAGCAAGGCTGTGGGACTGGGAAGGGAAAGGGGGTCTGCAGGCGGAGTCCCATTGGTACCAGAACTGTATTTAGCAGCGAGCTCGCTAAGGCCCAAGTTCATGGCAAGCAGGCACCAGTCCTTCCCAAGGGCATCTGGCGGGTCCAGCAGACGGCAGAGCTTGCGTCGAGCCAGGTGACTGACTTCCGCCACGGGCACTTCCCCTCCAAGCCTGCCCTGTTTGTAGACATGGGTGCAACCTAATGCTACGATACTGACAAAGCTCTCACGATAGCCACCCATGGTGTTCGACAGGGCGTTCTCGCCTCGTGCTTGAGTGCGGAAAAAGTCCCTCGGTTGGTAGAGCATGACAGGGCCGTGGTGTTCCCGCAGCTGCTGAGGGCTGAGATAATGTCGGGCGGTAAGCAAACCGGGTAATGTAGCAGCTAACAGACCCTCTGCCATGCTGCATAACGTGTCCAATAAAGCATAGCAACGGCCGGGATCCGAGTCAGGTCCTCGTAACTGTACCTCCATGCCCTGCCCATGGTTCACAAGCAGAACCAGGGCCTCAGCACCGCCAAGTCCAACCCGAGCTCCACCGCTCCACAACCTCACATCCTCAGCCTCGACCTCCGGCTTCTGCTGCCGGCTCCACCTGCACAAGTTCACTTGTAACTTATGGAAAAGTCCACAAGGGAATGGTGCCAAGTGCTCCGCAGGTACTACTCGCACTCCACCGTAAAGCAAAGTGCCCTCGCCTTCTACATCTTCCTCATCCGTCCAGGTGTGCTGTAGGCCACTTGTGCGTATGAGGGCAGGAATGTCGACCATTCCTGGGTTGGCAAAGTCACGGGCACATACGTCCATGGCGTCAAGCACCTGGAGAAGTTCATCAATGTCACCTTCTGAGACCAGGTTTTGGAGTTCTTCCACACGGTAGCGGCCACGGTAGTGGTGGATCGCTTTGGGGGTTTCAATCGAGAGAAGTTTGCCAAGTACGTTACTACAAAGCCAGCGAGGATCTAACAGGACAACATCCTGGACAGTCTCACTTTGCATGATGTTAATCTAGAAGAAAGAAAGGGAATAAAAAGGATTGAGTGCAAGCAAATGGGTGATTCTAAGATTCCTGTTTAAAGGCCTGTTCACACCAAGACAAATATTTGGTGAGATTAAATTTTTCCTTTTAAATTAATGACTATTAATTCATCTGTTCAGACCGTCACAAACATGCACATGCCGTCAAGGCATCATTTTTTTTATGTAACGGTGTTCTAAACTGATTTCAATCATGCTAACAAGAAAGCTGGCCAACTTTCAATAAGATTCATGCTTTTGGTCACATGCCCAGAGCGCTACTGTTACATAAAAATATGACTTGGTGGCACTAAAGAACAGACACTTTTGCAAAGCACCAGTGAATAGCAGAGAAAAGAATCTGGAACCAGTTCTCTAGTCCCTGTACTTCTGTATTTGGTGATGTGTGATGAAGCCATAGTGAATACAAAAATCTGAACGGCTTTTTAAAAACACGTACATATGGTAAATATGTATTTCTGCATTTCTAGTTTACTGTCAGATACTAAATTTCCATTTTTATTCAGTATGTCTGCTGTTTTTTACACTTTACCGAAAGTTTGTGCTGAATATTTGTGCTGGTGTGAACAGACCTTTAGGTGGGGTTCCATAACATTTCAGCAGATGTGTTCATCTAAAGTTAAACTGTCACTTTTCGCGCTCAACTCACGTATTCTTTTTCAAATAAATGTGATAAATCATCAGTAGATGTATATCGCTTATGGGGGCGCACTTGAAATGCCTTTAAAACAGCACTATGTAACTTTTTCTGTGTTCAAAATTTGCAAAATGTGTATAATGAGCGAGTACATCATGAATTCATCTTCCAAACCGCGTTTTTTTCTTATTCCGAATCACTACGGTACACTTATAATAAGTACTTATATTTGGACTATTGTAGCCTGGTCGGGTCGTCATCGCTGCGGAGTAACACATACCTGCGTGAATCGCCATAGACATAAACTTAGAGAAGTAGCTCCGGTTGGAATGTTCTTCCGCGGGATGTGTGCAGTTCTGTTTATTAACCGCTAGAGCGCCAAAAGTTACATAGTGCTGCTTTAATTTGGATCGGTTCATTAAATGGAGCTATTTTATGAATTCAGACGACTTCGAATACAGCAAACACGTTGTATGAAAATCTTTTATGAAACATGATTTCATAAAAGTCATTTGAGTCATTTGTTTTTTGTCATTTTGGAGCTTGGCAGCCCAGATTCTCATGCACTTTCAGTACATTCTTCAATATTTCTCATTTTGATTCACAGAAGTCATACAGGCTGATGTGAATTGTTTTTGTGCGAATTATTCTTTGAAGAGAAATGACAGATTTTAAAAGGGCTGAGGTTAAATACAAGGGAGCTGAAGCCCCTAAAAACAGAGTATCTTATGTAAGTAAACACAGCTGAATCACAGCTTGGCATTTCAGCCCATCAGCATCAAACCATTCCCTAAAATGAGTTTAAGTGTTGCTGCTGAAAACACAAATGACTAATATTGATGAGAATGACTCATTCACCTGCTCTCTCTATCGGTGAAGCTGTTGTTGTAATGGTTGTGGGTGGTCAATAGACTGAAAAGGCCCCTTTTCAGTTGCTGACACCCACCAACTCATTTGAATTCACATAAAAACATGTTTGTAGATGTTCTGCATTGTATACTTTGAGTGGTTTAGAAGTAATGGATGTGGCATTAATAGCAGGGGCGTGTATGATAGTATAGCAGAATGTATGAAAATAATAATTTTAATTAATGATATATTGCAACTACTTCAAACACACTTACAGCAATATGCCCATAATTCATGCATATGCATACATATTTATTCATCTGCTCATCATCACACACACACTCTCACACATTCACTGGGCCACCCACACACACACACACCTCTCCCATGCTGTGAAGTTGTGAAGCCAGTTCCCGCAGATCCTCTTCGCTGGCTAGAGGGTTGATTTGTTCTTGCACATCCACAACAAACTGTTGCCATGACATCAGCTGGTTTGGCCCGTTCAGTTTCCTCCAGGAAGGCAGAGTGGACAACAGCTTCTCTGCCAGCTGAGTCATCGACCTGCAGGTCTGTGAAAACGACAGAGAGAGAAAAGCAATTTTACATTTCTGAAAAAATATGAGTGTGTACTTGTCAATGGGGTTGCTGAGTGGTTGCTAGGTAATTACTTTCTGGCCCCAGTCAAAAGAACAGACCCTCAAGTATCTATGATAGTCTCATGCTGAAATATGGTCAAATGTAAGTCTAAAGAGCTTTTTCCCCTTTAACCGAAAGTAGGAGCTATAGTAGAAACCACCACTGATAAATGAAAGTCAGACTCTTTAACACCTCAAATATATTGTACTATATAAATTACAAATTTAAAAACTATAGTAATTACTTCTTTGAATAGTAATTTTCCTTCATAATATACACAAAAATCCAGACACAATATAACGGCGTATGAGAAAGTAATCTGTACAGGTATGTGTAGGAGTGAGAGAGATGTAGGAGGAGAATGAGCAGAATGTATTAGCGAGGGATCTGAGTGTCAGTGTTTGATATTGTGTATTTCTAAAAGAGAGAACACACGTGTGTGTGTGTGTGTGTGCTGGTTATTTGACAAGGTAAAGAGAAGAAGAGAGCTTTATTATAGAGTTCAGACTCAGATCAGAATCAGAAAAGTGAGTGTTTCAGGTCATTGAATGTATATACATTTAGGTAACTGAAATGATAACGTGCTGGGATGTGTAGTAGAGTGAAGACCGATCTTACAGATATGATGGAGTTGCGGAGCTCTAACAGAAGGTTTCTCAGCAGCTTCATGTCTTTGGAGTTGGACGCTCCTGCATCCATGATGAAGAGCTTCTCGGCAATGTGAAGATCATTCCCAAACCTGAGAGAAAAAATGGCACTATAATCAGTTTAAAAGAAATTAAATTAAATTATTAATTATTATTAAATTATCTAATCAGTCCTACTAAATTGATCACTTTGCCAAATATTGTCCTTATAGGTCTCATGGCTTCAAACTGACAGTTTATATTGATTTAATCACCTGTTTCTGACTTCCCTAAGTAGGGATCTCTCCTTTTCATAGCTGAACTCTCCCCCAAACGATCGAGGCAGATTCACAATGTCAGCATGTGTGGCCACCAGGACCACGCGCAGTGGATTCCTGATCTTCCCTCCAAAGGCTGTGGATACAACACAGAGGCAGTCTTATTGTCTATTTTTCACATCTTTGATCTCAATGCATCATCTTTCAACTCAACTCTTTGAGAACCATAGACCAAGTACTAGATTCCTAGATTAAGACTGATGCACTGACTCTAATGAAGTCTCTTTTGGCATTATCCATAGCACTATGGATGTGCCTGCTACAGTACTTACACAAATTCATCAACCATCACTACAGTGAAAGCAAAGGCAAGCCAGGCTGAAATGACCAGAGAGAGTTTGAGAGACACAAGAATGAGAAAACTACAAACAGCATCAATGAAGCACAAAGAATGGAGAACAGTGAAACGAGTGAAATGCATGAGCTAATTTCTTTTGTCAGAGAACAAATATATGGTGCTCATGGTGTGAAAACAGCAAGACATGACGCAGCAGCCAAAATATCCATCTAGTATATATGTACACAGAAATCAAAGCAAAAATAGCGCAGATGGAATGCAAGAATGCATTGTGTGCAATCGGGCCTCAGACAGATTGACAAACTCAACCGTAAAAAAATGTTTGCCAAATATATACTTGTGTTAAATGACATGGAAATAAAACAATATATTGTATATATAATATATTGACTTCTAAAGCCATAATTTGTTATGTCTATTTAATGCTTTACTCGTCTGCCACAATAATGTAACATCATGTAATTAATGTATTTAAAAATGTGCACGCCAATTGACAGCAGCACTTTCACAGTAACAGAGCTATGGGTAACGGAATTGTACAGCTGGTTATTGGTTTTTGTAACTAACCATCAGGAATGTTAGTAAATGTTCATTTAAATCATTATAGAAATGAGAATTTCAACAGTATGGTGAAAAGAGGTGCAGAGACGGATGAATGATAATTAAAAAATGCAGACAAGTTAAGGTGTAATTGCATGACTTTCATGAAACACACCAAGTCGATTATTTTGTAAGAATAAATGAATCAATGAATGAATAAATAAATAAATGACTATGCAAAATAACTATTGCTATAGTAACCAAGTAAAACATATTAATTTCAATACAGAAAAATTGTATAACTGCTCTCTAGACCTCTCAATCACAGACTTTACAGCTTCAGCTGATCCCTGTAATTATTGTAATGGAAAGCCCTCTACAAAGGAGGAGGAAAAAATCCATACATTGTACACTGTTGTCACGAATCCTGTCCATGGACTTCCGTTCAATCACCACCAGAGGTCCCATGAGGGTCCGCGTTTATCTTTAAGTCAGTTTATGGATTATGCTTTGTTGATGGTTGGTTCAGCTTTCACTGTGGGTATCGTGGAGGAACGCGACCCCGCACTCACTCATGTAATGGCGGCCGCACTAGAGCACGCTCACAAAATGGCGGCGACAG